TTCGGTATCTAGCCTCCCCGCCACGAGGAATGCATGTGGCACAAGGCCGAGTTTTACGTGGGTTTCCCGAGCCCATAGGCTCGGCCAAAAAATGCCCGTAGAAGCTGTAAAAACAGAATCGGGTTGGTCAACCTCCCCGAACGAGACTCTGGCCTTCGGCGAAGCCTCGTCCGAGTTCCTCTCTGCTCAGAAGCAGAGAGTTCGACCGTCAAGCCGAGAAGCTCGGCTCGATTCGGTATCTAGCCACACCCCTCCCCACGAGGGTTGCATATGGCACAAGGCCGAGTTTAACGTAGGTTTCCCAAGCCCGTAGGCTCGGCCAAAAAATGCCTGTAGAACCCGTATAAACAGAATCGGGTTGGTCAACCTCCCCGAACGAGACTCTGCCCTTCAGCGGTTCCTCTCTGCTCAGAGGCAGAGGGTTCGACCGTCAAGCCGAAACGGCTGGTTTCGATTCGGTTTCTAGCCACCCTCCCACGAGGGTTGCATATGGCACAAGGCCGAGTTTAACGTGGGTCTCCCAAGCCCGTAGGCTCGGCCAAAAAATGCCTGTAGAACCCGTATAAACGGGATCGGGTTGGTCAACCTCCCCGAACGAGACTCTGCCCTTCGGCGGAGCCTCGTCCGGGTTCTTCTCTGCTCAGAGGCAGAGAGTTTCACCGTCAAGCCGAGAAGCTCGGCTTGATTCGGTATCTAGCCACCCCACCACGAGGGTTGCATGTGGCACAAGGCCGAGTTTAACGTGGGTTTCCCGAGCCCGTAGGCTCTGCCAAAAAATGCCCGTAGAACCCTTATAAACGGGATCGGGATGATCAACTTCCCCGAACGAGGCTCTGCCCTTCGACGAAGCCTCGTCCGGTTTCCTCTCTGCTCAGAGGTAGAGAGTTTGACCGTCAAGCCGAAACGGATCGACTCGATTCGACCCTCTCTCTTGAGAGGCGTAGTATACATAGTGTTAGGAAGAGTTCATTCTGTAGTTATACGTAAGGACCCATGACATTATATGTCACTCAAAAATTAATAAAGTTACATGTAAATAATTATGCTAAGTTCTTAGACAATTTTCCTTTTTCTTTTTCATTTTTGACTGGTGTAAATCACAGCCAGGAAGTTTTAAACTGAAAAATCTATATTATTATTGTATCGTCGAGGTGAATGATACACTGGGCAGTATGAGGGCTTAATACATTTATTCAGCACCAGTATCCGGTGCTAACGGATGCATACAAATGTCACAGAACAATAAGTTACAAAACAATTAAAAAGACAACTTACAAGGAATAGAGGAGGGTCAAATGCTTTATAGCCAAACGAAGATCAGTCCGAATTAATCAGCTTAGTCTCAACTTATTAAACAACTGTTATTTGCTATGAGCCAGGCTACCTGGTAGAGTGCTGAAGGGGTGCTAGCTACTCTACAACAATATATATATATATATATATATATATATATATATATATATATATATATATTTGTGTGTGTGTGTGTGTGTGTGTGTGTATGTTATGAAATGGACAAAGTTCGACAATTATTTTAAGACATTTTTATGTTTATACATTCTTTTTATAGATACAAATATTTAAGTAAATGCTATGTTTATAATAAACAGTATTAACAACATTTACCGGCCTGAATGTCCGAGAAATTTTCACAGAAAATATTCGTCCTCCGACAGGATTCGAACCTGTATGCTATACGGAACCGTTATATAGCTTGACGTGCCTTTACCGATTTGTCCACAGAGGAGCGTCCGGTTAGCAAAGTATAAACAGAGCATTTACTTAAATATTTGTATCTATAAAAAGAATGTATAAACATAAAATGTCTTAATATATATATATATATATATATATATATATATATATATATATATTTGACGATCGCTAAAGCGTGAAACCCAGGTTTACAAAAATCACATCAATCCAACCAAATATGTTAGCTCTATCTCTGATATTGAGCGCTTTTAATAAGTACCGCGTATATTATATATAAATAATTATATATATATATTTATTTATATTTATACACACACTTTTCACACACACACACACACACACACACACACACACACACACACACACACACACACACACACACACACATATATATATATATATATATATATATATATATATATATATATTTATATATGTGTGTGTGTGTTGTATTGTTGAGGTAAATGACACAGAGAAGAATGAGTGCTTAATATATTTATTTAGCACCAGCATTCGGTGCTAGTGGATACATACAAGAAAACACAGAACAATAAGTTACAAAACAATTAACAAGACAACTTACAAGGAATAGAGGAGGGTCAAAGGCTTTATAGCCAAACGAAGTAAGATCAGTCTAAATATTAATCAGCTTAGTATCAAGTTATTAATCAACTGTTGAGGTCCTTAATTGTAGACTATTTAATGCTGTGAGCCAGGCTATCTGGTAGAGTGCTGAAGAGGTGCTAGGGACACTACAACAATTATAAAAGAAGACTTGAATCTCTGTCCATCACACAATATCTGCCTGCAAATTTGCATGCGCTTATCTAATGTATACCGTATAATCTGGAGAATCATTCAAGATTTTCCATCAGTTATTTTACGCAAAAATAGGCGTTCAAACTATACACAATTCTTTTTGAAGGGGTTAAAAATCCTGCATTGCTTAAGGTATTAATTGATTTTAAGGGGGAGTATAGTGGATGCATTTTTGCTCTTCATATAGCGATAAAAGAGAAGAAAGGTTATGTAAGAGTCAGGCCCAGGGTAAAGGAGCTACCGTAGTCAGGCAGGAACGAAAACAAAAGTACGATAGCTAAATCTTCATATAAGATATTTTACGAAAAGTGATTTTTTTTTTGTGCTATTTTGAAGTAGCTGTGTACAAAAAAAAAAATCATTCATTTGCCGTAAATATGTCCAGGATGACGTCTGGAGACACAATATTTGATTACGGTAGGCCTACTAGTATTGCGCAGAAGCTGGAGGTCGCATTATACATGGGATATATGAAAAAATCGGGTTTTTCCCCGAAATATTCAGGGATCACATTTTTACATTAAGTAAGCTTATACAAGAATATATAAAATATCCATATTATGCCTTTCTTGTGCGTGTATGACTTACGTGTATTTGTAATATTTAATGTACACACAAGTGCTAATACACACCCACACATACATAGATGCATAATTTGAAAGAGGTTGAAATGAGGCATTGAAATAATACATACTCCTTCTATTCAAGTCTTAAAGTTGGAGAAAAGAGAAAAGAAAAAGGTTTTTCGAACCTTAAAATATCAAATAATTAGAAATGTTCATGATAGTTTTCTTTATTTTTTATCTATCTATCTATCTATCTATCTATCTATCTATTTTTTTATATTATTTTAATACCTATATGCGGGTGGTGTGAAAAAAAACCCAGATAATACAATTTGTATATAAACAAAAATATTGAACAAATCGATATCAGGGGAAAAAAAATCAATAAAAAAGGAAAAGACTAAAACATCCGTACTGGTTGAAAATAATCAATCAGCACTGCAATGTCTATCAAAAAAAAAAAAAAAAAAAAAAAAATCACCGACAGAGTGACTTAAATTAAAACGTAAATGTGCTCAATACACTGAGTAGAGAAAAAAAAATAATGAGCCAGAACCTACCTACTTAGGTTTCACATAACGAATCATCAGTGTGATTTGATACTGGCTAGTATTACCCTGATGATCCGTTAGGTGAAACCTAAGTAGGCAGGTTCTAACACATTAAGTTTTGTGTGTATATATATATATATATATATATATATATATATATATATATATATATAAATTACATTTTTCGTATAAGGGATTATAATAAAAAAAACATAAGAGATTATAATAAAAACATTTTTAAATCGTTACTACAAAAGCTTCCACGTTTCAATACTATGATTGTACTTCTTCAGACGATGATAAGTAAATGAAGAAGTACAACCATAGTATGGAAATGTGAAAACTTTACTGTAACAGTTTCAAATTGTTTTTATTATAGTCTCTCATAATGAAAATGTAATTTTATATATATATATATATATATATATATATATATATATATATATATATGTATGTACACAAAAAAACAATAACATTAACATCTTCTACAAAAATCAAATGCACTTAGAAACATCCTAAAGATATACCCAACTCCAGGTGACAATGTCAAGAAAATTAAATTAATTATTTAGTACAGCAAATTTAAAACCTCATCATAAAAATAATGATTCACCTGCAAGATCTACATGACAGAGGAGCAATATTATTTACAAATTTACATGTCCCTCAAGGAGCTGGATTTACTTCAACGTGTTTAACAAGGAAGCTCACCTTACATCTCTCCGACCATAGCTTAATTAGGTCTCATTTATCAAAGAGTATACTTAACATACTCGTTAAAAAATACAAATATAATAATGCCATTCACATGAACAAAAAAAGCATTATTAATAAAAAAAGTAAAAAAAAAAAAAAACACTAAATAATATGAACTATGAACACAGCCATCGTGTTTGTAAAATAAAACATTCCTATAACTCCAGATACATGTACAAAATAATGCATATATTCAGTTAAAAGAAAAGAAAATTTATACTTGATAATGGCTATTAGTATATCCGAAAGCGCTTGGATAAATTTCGGACAATTTTTATATCATTTATGTCATGAAAAGAAAAATATATACAAAAACATGAGAAGTTATATATAAAACTAAAACACAACAACGTGTCAGTCCTTTTCAACGAAAGTTATATAAAAGTGGGATTTCTGCCTAAATACACAATTTATATATAGCTATATATCTATCATAGTTCGTTTATATCGATCTACCTATCTCCGTTCATGTCTGTCTATCGATCTCAGTTCGTTCATATCTATCTATCTATCTATCTATCTATCTATCTATCTAGCCATATATATGCTTGTATGTGTGGATGTCTGTGTGTTCAAGGCTTGAGTCAAACACGTTAAAACACCAGTTTCCGTGTGATCAATGAAGTTAAGCAACGTCTATCCTGGTCAGTACCTAGATGGGTGACCTCTTGGGAATACCATCTGCTGTAAGTTTGGATGTTCGAGTGGTGCAATGCAATTTTTAATCGGAGAGACAAGTTCCAATTGCCATTGCATTCGATATATTCAATAACGTAAAACACCAGTGGGAAAGCTATGAATCCACGTCTTGTCACCCCAGCTATGGGCTAATTAGTAGGAGTTGTAGTAATAAAACCGTTATTATCTCCGCAATGAGTTGATAAGCCGTACAAAATGAATCAATCGATGAATCTTTCAACCAAACGAACAACAAGGTGATTGCAGGAAAAAGAGGAACACATTATTTTTATTTTAATACCAGAAGCAAAAAAGTGTTAATCATTTAAGTGTCTTTTTGCTGCTTGTATTACAAGCAGCAGACAGATCGGATCTGAAAGCTTTCATTCCATAACCTTTTTCCCCAGGCTTATTTTTCAGCCATTTGTGTCGAAAAAGCGTCTGATTAGACGTTTCTTCTTGATTTTCATCCATAAGCTTCACTATTTTTCCACCTCTACAGAAATATTCGAAGTTAGTCAGCCGCCTGTGACTGGTTTTCCGCATTCTATCACTAATCTTTCTCTTTCTGTATGTCTGTCATCTGTCATCTAGTTCTTCAAATGGAAAATGCAAATTCGGATTTTCTTCTACCCCGTTATAGTTTACGAAAACAATTGCGTATTTTTCATTGACATTTTTATTTCTAATATATATTTATATGTTTTTATATATATATATATATATATATATATATATATATATATATATATATATATATATATATATATATATGTGTGTGTGTGTGTGTGTGTGTGTGTGTGTGTGTGTGTGTGTATATTAACCACTAATATTGTGTGTATATATATAAATACATATATATATATATATATATATATATATATATATATATATATATATATATATATATATATATATATAATGTGTGTTTAATCGTGATGAAAGGTTTCAAAATATAGTTAATGTTTGTGAAAACCGAGCAGAACATTTGAACTATTTTAAGGCTCTTGTTCATGACCTTTCATTCCAAACCATTTACATATTCTGGTTTTGTTTTCATTTTTTGTTTTTTTAATGAATTTTGAATGTTTAGTAATAAAGGTATTTCCAAAATTTATTTATTTTTTTTTTTCAATTTCTCCAAAAGATTATCTTTCGGGATTCTGATTCATTCGAGATATTCAGGATGTCGACATTTTGGATTTTAAGATTCGGGATTATAAACCAAACCCTATATAGGAGGTGTAGTGGTTAGCGGCTCGGATCCAGTCGAATCCATTACATTCACTTACGTGCTAATCCCCTTGGAAAAGGTATTAATCATTAATCCTCTTTTTCTACCTCCAGCTATGGGTGAATAGCAGGAGAGACTGGGTTCTATAGCCTTGGATGGCAACTAGTCTAGAAGAAAGACAACTCTGAATTCAAAACCTGTGGAGGGTCGTTTGGTGATCTTGTTGCACGTAGTGCAGCAGGTCTCTGTAGTCGGCCCTTCAAAAAGTGTGGTTGGTTTTGCACAAAGCCTTCGTCACTATAATCAAGGCATATGTTCTAGTGTCTGGCTGTCGGTTCCTAGGAACTGTGCTGCTTGACCCTCATATGTCGAATACAACGGGAGAGTCCACCATATATATATATTTGTGTGTGTTTGTGCGTATGTGTGTGCTATAGAGTGATTTCACAGTGGAGGCTTGTATTTGTACTAAGTCGGTCCTAAAATAGGTTCGACGTACAAAACTTGATATAATAAGTATAACGCAGAGTAATCAAGTTGTGGTCGCTGATACTTTCGTATTCGACTAAGTGTCGTCCGACCTCGACTGACCGAACTGACCTTACCAACTCCCACGTTACTCTTACTACTCCTACTTATTATAGGTGGGAGAGTCTATTAACTATAGAATAGGTGTGTTCCACTATAACAATGTGTGTGTGTGTGTGCGTGTGTGTGTGTGTGTAGAATGTTTATCCAGTTGGGAACATAATTAATCGAATTCGCTGAAAATTTCGATCGTATCAATTGTTTTAGTTGGGATAAAAAAATGTCCAAATATAGGGAGAAGACAAAGTTTTGACTGCCAGAAAAAACAATAGTCAGACAGATTAAGAATATGCTTCTGTTGTATCCTCTCCTCTTTTCTGGGAATCTCCTTTGATTGAGAGTCTTGAGGCAATCATAATAAAGTTGTCTTCCGCCTTTCTTCTCTCGGCCGTCTTCTCCCGGACGTCTGTCGAAATGTTTTTGATGTACGGAGATGAAAGAAACTTCAACAAAAGGAATTTGAAAACATATTTATTTTATTACACCCTTCTACACGTACATCTTCTAACTAGCCAGTGGGGTTGCTCTATCACCTCCACCGGGGAAAAAAGTCCCCGAGACACGAAATAACCACGTCTACCGTGTATGACGTGTAAGTTCTTAACTTATTGAAATCACTTTCTATCTTGCTAATATTCCCACGTTCAACTCAGCCAATCAAAATCGACATCCACATTTTGTCTACAATCTGACCTTAAAGGTCAGCCTCAGAAGGTCTGAGCCAAATACACTGTCACTAAAAATATTATAGTGTGAAACTATTTTTTAACTTTCCGTACCTAACCATAAAAAATAATTTATGAATTTTATTTCAACTACATTATTTTTAACACTAGCAGCATGGCCCGTCGTTGCCCGTGCTTGATTCAAAAATCGTACGACTCATACAGCAATCGCTAACACTTGACTTAAAATATTTTTGCCCTTCCTTGCCTTTAAAGGAGTGCCCTTTGCCGTGCTGATGTTGCTACATGCCTTACTTCTTGCCTATCTCACACTGCGAATTTTTTCTAAGCTCTGTACTAAACATTAAATCGGTTACGAAAAAAGAACTAAACAAAATGAACACAAAACGATCAGCTTTAAAAAGGACTCGTAACTGGAAAAACCGAATGACAAATGAATACTTTTTCACACCCAACCCAGTTCTGCGGAATCAGAATCAGCGTTGAGTTTAAGCAAGCGAATGAGCCAACTGGAGTAAAGTGCCATGCAGATTTAAATTTTTCCCACTTGTGACGAAAGCAGCTATCGATTTTTTTTGCATGCTATTTAACATTCGTGTCAGTCAGCTGTTGGCTCTCACGCTGGCCAATAGAATCTTCCTGCCTATTCGTGGCAGCCAGCTATAGCCTCTCACTCTGGCCAGCAGAAAATGGCCGAAACTACATGAAAACTGCTGAAGAAGCATGAAAAAATCGATTATTTCCATTATCGATGGTAGTTGAGAAATGCAAAGTCGGTCTTGGCCTGCCCATTAACTTGTGCATGTACATTTTGGTGCAAATCCGTCGAAAATTGCGGCACATACACACACACACACACACACACACACACACATACTGTCTTTTATAGATAGAGATTCCTTACCCAAACATCCCGTCCTGGGTATGACGATAAACTACATTCGCATCCTGGGTAAGACGATAAACTACGTCCGTGTCCTGGGTAAAACGATAAACTACATTTGCATTTTGGGTAAGGCGATAAACTACTTAATCGGGTATTGAACTCACACTCTCCAGTGACAGGACCCAAAGACTGTGAGTTCAATACCCGGTTAAGGCGACTTAAAGACACATGGCACCGTGGATAAAGGCGTTAGTTAGATCCAGTGACAGGGCCCAAAGATTGTGAGTTCAATACCTTGGTTAAGGCAGTGGAGAACTTGGGGAGGGGAATTAAGCAGGAGATAACTGATAACTGACATCCATTAGACATGGCACGTGGAACTAGAACAGTCTACCCCAGTGAGCGAAATAAAGGGTTCAGTTCGACATTCCAACCACCTGAAGAAAGCCGGAGCGTACAACGGCCGACACGTTGTAATAAATATGGTGACAAAGATGAGGACAATAGTCCGAATAATGTAAATAGTGCAATTAATTATTTTTTACTTGCATATTTCTTGATTCACTTGAACAGACCTTCAAAATGTTTCCACCATTAATCTTGTATAATTACTGTTATTCCTTATCTGTCAAAACTTAGCTCGCACTATCACCATTTCCTCTTCACCTTGGCTGTCTCACCCCAACGTGGAAAATAACTGCACCCACACAGCATCTCTTAACTTATCCATTACTGGCTCTACCGTGGTTACAAGGATTTCTTCCTTTGTCGCGACCGGTACTTGGCATTCCACAAGCCACGTGACCATTTCCATTAGGTCATCGGGAGCCCGAAAACTTCACCCCGAGTGTATCTTTGGGTATATTTATTCGATATAAATACTTCATGGAGCACATGTCTCCATTCTACTCCCCATAAACCATCGGGTCCCGAACTATCAGGTCATCCCATAAGTTTTGTCCGTATTTTGAATAAAGAAAACAAGTGACTGAATGTTACATTTAATTACAGATTCAATCAACAATGAATTTCCCTGATTATCTATGACTTCCTTCCATTTATTAACAAGCTTACTAATTCCATTACTGTAAAATTCTTTTGGCTTTCATTTGAAGGACTCACAAATGTCAGTTTTAACATCTTCCTGTGTTACAAAAGCTGTTTCTTCCAAATGATTCTGTAAGCTACGAAACAAATGGTAGTCTGAAGGAGCAAGATCGGGAGAATAAGGTGGATGAGGAATTTTCTTCCAACCAAGTTCTTCGATCTTTTGTGACGTTATTTTTGCTGTGTGGGGTCGCGCATTGTCCTGATGAAACATCACTTCTTTTCGATTCACTAGAACAGGTCTTTTTTTCCTCAAAGCTTAGTTCAAACGCTCTAATTGATAACAGTATATTTGAGCATTAATTGTTGCATTAGGTGGTAAGAATTCAAAGTGGATTATTCCTTGGCAATCCCACCAGATTGAAAGAAGAAACTTTTGCCCATGAAGTACTCTTCTCGGCTGTGGCTGGGGTCCTTCCCCTTTACTAAGCCACTGTCTACGACGCTTAACATTTCGATAAAAGATCCATTTTTCGTCGGCAGTCACAAGTCTATCCAAAAAAGGTGAAAC